GGTCTGGGGGTTCTTTTTTTTTTTTTTTTTTAAAAGGGGTACTTTATTAAAAAAAAGGTTGAGAAACACTGGTCTATAGCATTAATCTATAAGCTTTTGCTTATTGGTTAGTCAGTTAATCAATTACAGTAATTCCTCATTAAACACATGCCCTCTTATCACGTTTTCATGATAGCACAATTTTTTCTTAGGGAACTTTTTTGAATTACACGACCATCCCCAGAATAACACAATTTCCCCAGTTGTCCCGTCACCGGTGGCTGCATTGGGCTTCCCCCGCCTCCCTGCAAAGCGGTGGAGGGTTTGCTGCTAGCCGCACCATTCCCCGGTAATCCCCCCTTGCCGGATGCAGTGCGGGTCCCGGCAGACCCGTCACAGGGGCATAGTCCCAACACAATCCCCCTCCCCATACCTCCTCCAGAGCCAAACACCTCCCCCCTCTGCTGTAACCCATTCCCTTTTTCCTCAACCTTATGTCCCGGTCCCAACAGACGCCACCGCTTGAAACGCAACCCCCCACCTTTTCCATTATTTTCAATGGGAAAATTGACCCCGCATAACAAGTTTTCACTTAACATGATCATTTTCTGAAACATATCTATAGTATTAAATGAGGAATTACTGTACACTATTACATCCCTAGTGCCCAGAGGCAGCTCTGGCTCCATGTCAAGGAGGGCTGTGGTGTCCAAATGCAGGGCAACCAGAGCATGCACTGCAAGTGTTTTGCTTTCCCTCGGAGAGATAGGCAAGCAAGCAGAAGCTGAGAAACCACTGTTATGGGGGGTCCCTTTAAGCATGTGTCTCAGATAGCCATAGGCAACAGCACCTGGAAGCAACTGCTGACCTAATGCCCTGCCTGAACTGGTTCCGAGGAGCCTTAAATGCAAGCGAACATCCACATTGATTGGATGCTATCTTTTGAAAAAGTGCATCACTATTTCATTGTGCTTTTTGTGTGCAGACGTGCTATTTCGAAATAAGCCTGCAGTCTAGACATGGCCTCAGTCTGTGTTCTGATCCTCAGCCATAAGGTCTTCCTTTCTCTGGCCCAAGCTGCCCTGTTTACAGCTCAAGAGATACCCGAGGAGTCAGAGGTGCGCTGGCCCTGCTTCCTCTTAAAAAGTTCCCTCTGCCTGCTTCTTTCATGCCAACCTATCCTGGTACCCAAACTAGTCCATAAAGCCATTACCCTATCCTTATATCTCACTTTTACTGGAATGCTATGACAAATTGTCAGGCAATGTGAGCTAGATGAACATCAGCTATTTATTTAGGTTTATTTGTAGTCTGTAACACAACTAAGTAATAAAATTTAACCATTGCAGCATTTTTTTGCATTCTTTTACCAGTGTATTTTCAATGTAACTATAGTAAAAACAAAAAGCTATTACTACATAGCTACATTTTCAGGCAATAAAGACGTTTGTCCCATTGAGTAGCTAAACAAAAGTTAAAACAAAAACAAGCTCAAGCTGGGGTATTTAGATGACTAAATATGCAAACAACAGAGCAAAAGCATAAGAACATAAGAACAGCCATACTGGGTCAGACCAAAGGTCCATCTAGCCCAGTATCCTGTCTACCGACAGTGGCCAGCACCAAGTGCCCCAGAGAGGGTGGACCAAAGACAATGATCAAGCGATTTGTCTCCTGCCATCCCTCCCCAGCCTCTGACAAACAGAGGCCAAGGACACCATTTTATCCCCTGGCTAATAGCCTTTTATGGACCTAACCTCCATGAAATTATCTAGCTTCTCTTTAAACTCTATTATAGTCCTAGCCTTCACAGCCTCCTCTGGCAAGGAGTTCCACAGGTTGACTACGCGCTGTGTGAAGAAGAACTTTCTTTTATTAATTTTAAACCTGCTACCCATTAACTTCATTTGGTGTCCTCTAGTTCTTCTATTATGGGAACTAATAAATAACTTTTCTTTATCAGCCCTCTCCACACCACTCATGATTTTATAGACCTCTATCATATCCCCCCTTGGTTATAAGTGAGTTATAAGATCAAGAACACATATTCCTGCGCATCCAGAAATATAATCTATGCTATCATGTGCCGAAAGTGTCCGTCTGCTATGTACATTGGACAAACATCTCAGACACTTCGCCAAAGGATTAATGCCCACAAAACAGATATCAGACAAGATCACAAAGAGAAAACAGTTTCTTGCCATTTTAACCAGAAAGGACACTCTCTCAATGACTTAACCACCTGCATTCTGCTACAAAGACCTTTTACATCTGCACTTGAAAGGGAATCCTCTGAACTGTCATTCATGTTAAAATTCGACACTCTCCAAAAAGGAATGAACAAACACTCGAACTATCTTACCCATTACCAAGATAGCTTCCCCAATTATCACCTCTAATACCATTAACTCACAAACATCCCACTCTCCCCACCTCTAATATCATCAATTCACAGACACTTACCTTCCTTCCCCCTCCCCCCCACCGCATCCCCCTCCTGTTCTGCAATGTGATTTGTCCTTTTCATATTTGTTCTTTTTTTTAATTGTATCCTTTGGTATATACGGTTGTGACTACTTTCTTCCACTATTTGATCTGAGGAAGTGGGTCTGGCCCACGAAAGCTCATCATCTAATAAACCATCTTGTTAGTCTTTAAAGTGCTACATTGTCCTGCATTTTGCTTCAACTACCCCAGACTAACACGGCTACATTTCTATCACCAATCTGGAGGGGAGCTAGAGCGTTAGTGTGGGAACCTTGAGTCTCGAGGGCCACACTCACGTGAGCTGGGGTATTAGGTTCCTCACCCCTGCTTTAAAAACAAAACCTCTTACTCTTAAAAATCGATCCCCGTATCTCTGGTCGGACCAGCTTCACGCAGGTCCTCGGGGATGGAAAACTGCAGCAAACTGTATGCCCCACTCTGCTGCTGGGCTTCTGTCTCCATGTTTGTAATGAATAAGTTTAAGTATAAACTGGGATTCTTTTTAAACTTCTGGAGTATAGATTATTCTAAGAGTTAGGTTTTAAAGAAGGACAGAAGTCACTAGTGCCCTCTAAACTCCCTCTTCAAACTCTCCTGTTAGCTGTTCCTGGCCGCGCTCTCCCTGGTCCCTGAGTCACAGGCTTATATAGCTGTGGTAGCCCCTACACCTGACTGAGGCTCAGCCAAGTAACAGAGGCTTCTAGATTTCAAACCTTTTAGAAGCTCCTTCAAACAAACAAACACAAGCTCAGCACACTGCAAATAACTCCCCCCCACACAAACACACTCCAGACAGCCACTTACCACAAGGGTCCCGTTTTTACTCCTCTTTTACCTGGAGAACTCCCTCTCCAAACTCTCCTGTTAGCTGTTCCTGGTCGCGCAACAATGAGCATGTTCTGTCTCAATCTCCTAGTACTGCAATGGTGAAGAACTGAAACTGAGACACTATCCTACCAAACCTCCCAATTGCCACTTTTTCCCCCCCCCTCCTTTCTTCCCATTGTGTAGTGGAGGTGATCTGAAAATTTTCAACTTTTGTTGATAATATATGCTGTTTTGCAGAAGCCAGAACGTTTCATAGAGATATACTGATTCCGATTAAATTAAGGTCTCAGAGACCCAGGGTGGACTCCCTAATCACTTAGGCTATGTCTACACAGCAACGTTATTTCAAAATAACATAGTCCATGTCTACACAGCCTACAGTTATTTTGACAATGTCAAAATACTATCAAACTAGAGGACTTCTTACTCCAACTTCTATAACCCTCATTTTAGAGGAAGAGTTCTCTATTTGGAAATAAGTGCTGTGTAGACAGCACCAAAACTTGAAATATGCTATTTCAAAATAAGCTACACAATTAACATAGCTCAATTTGCGTAGCTAATTTAAGTTAAGCCCTGCTTTGTAGACATGTCCTTACAGAGGTTTTCCATTTGAAAAACTTGAGGTTTTCAAATTGTATCAACAATTCTATTTGCAAAAGAGTTCAAAAGATTCTGGTTTTGTTCAACTGCAGAACAAAATTAAAATTTGAAACCTCAAAAGGTCATGACATTGTCCTTCTCTGGAGAGCTCTACTACCTTGCTCCTAATTATCCTCTCTTCTCCTTTCTATGTTCAGCATGGAGCACCTTTATGTAGGTCTCCTATAACTGGATGTCCTCTGAAATCTCCACTTGTAAAAAAAATGTAACATAGGAACTGTAGATTGGGAGCTTTCTGAGCTGTATTGCCACATTGAAACAGAGATAGCAACACAAGAAAGTCAAGGAGTAAATGTAGGATGCTTATCGTAGCACAGTAATGTTTTCAAGGCTCTACATTTTCCTTTTCAATTGTTCATACTGATCATATGCACAACAGCTAACTTCCATATTCTCCAAACTACACAGTAAAATGGTGTTTATGTTTTAAGTTGTTGAAATCTTTCATTTAAAGTAAATATGGTACAGGCAGTCCCCGGGTTACATGGATCTGACTTACATCGGATCCCTACTTACAAACGGGGTGAGGCAACCCCGCATTAGCTGCTTCCCCTTAGCAGACCAGGGAGACGCGAAGCTAGCGCCCCCTCCCCTCCCCAGCAGACCAGGGAGACGCAGAGCGGCTTTTCTCAGCAGACACCTCAGCTTGAGAATAAAGGACTGAGGGAAGTGAGGGGTGGGAGAATAAAACTGAGCTCTGGAGAAATGTTTGGCTAGAGTTTCCCCTACAATATGTACCAGTTCCGACTTACATACAAATTCAATTTAAGAACAAACCTACAGTCCCTATCTTGTACGTAACCCGGGGACTGCCTGTACTAAATAAACAGAATGTCTGCTGTCAAACCAGTCCTTTGATAGTTCTTAATTTGGAAACAAATTTTGAATGGAATAGCTCTCTTAAGTCTCACACTTTAAGTATTACAAATAAAACTACTGAAAATAAATATTTATTCAACTATTAAAACAATGTTGACAAATAAGCTGAACTCAGTGAACAAATATTGAGATTCCCAAACATGGAGGAGTAGGAAATGCATCAGTCATACAATAGAAAACTCTTTCAATTACATTTTTAGACAACTTATTAGTATGATCTAAAAAGATCTGTTCTGTTTCCAGAAGGTAAGAGCTAGCTAAATTCTAAGCATGACAATAATATTTCAGTACTCAATGAGAAAAGGGGACTGAATTGTTCAAGGGACATGGGTTGCATACCATTCCACTTTTGTTACTTAAATTGGTTATGATCAAATATCATTACCATATAATGGTTCTTTGGTGAATAACATGTATTACTGCAAGTTATCAGTGAACATGTGTCCATATCACAATTGACACATTTGTTCAGTTTCAAAGTATTACAGATATATGAAGTCTGAACCCTCTTCTTATCCAAAGTTACCTTTCCTGATCTTGTTTGAAAAACATTGGCAAGGAAACAAAGTAGCTTGTACTGTTAATGTATATGATATACTGTTCTTTGGTGAATGAAGACTTCAGTCTTCAGTGCTAACCACTTAACTGTCACAAAGGACTAATTACACTAACATAAAAATAGATAACATTTGATACATACTGAATTGTAAAGAAATGGCATATTATAGTCTGCTATTATAATCTGCATTATTTCCCACTATATTAGAGTCCATCTTGAGTGGACTGATGTGTTTATATTTTGGTTTGATATTAATATGGACAATAAGACTGTGAAAGTTTTGTATTACTATTCTGTGAAGTCTAGTGTCTTCTTTCATTAGCTCTTCAACCTTCTTATCTGTTGACAAAAAAAGTTTCTTTTCTCCTGTATAATCTGGGTCTTCTGGATACAGCTCATCCCCTGAAAAAACATTAAGTTTTAGTGATTTAGCAATTTTTAGGACTAGCTACTTTATTACCAGCACATGAAAAATGTCTGGGAATGAAGTTCAGAGTACAATTACATTTAAAAGAAAATTGCCTCCAGTCTTTCCTGAATTTCAAGATGGTCATGAAACTCCATAATAGCCACAGAGATGTGACACTGTAGATTACAGTTATTGCAACAAACCTGGAATGTAATGGAACATTAATGTTCAAAGCAGCTTTTCCAGATATTAAAATTTATTGATTTTTGTCTTTACATAGAAATACAAAAAAATCCAAGGATTTCATTTATACTACTGAATACAGCCTCACTGCATCCTTTACACCAGGGCTGGGAAAATATGATCTGCGGGCTGGATCTGGCCTACTAAGCCATCAGATCTGGCCTGCAAGAGCCTCAGCCAGTTCCCTGCCTACCCCTTTTCTGCTCAGCATCAGGAAAGCTGGCTGCAGAGCCATGTGTTTCTGTGAATTCTGAGAGCCTGGGGGAGAGGACAGAGGCTTCTCACTCTCAGGCCGTGTCCAGACTCAGGGGTTTTTTCGGGAAAAAGTAGCCTTTTCCCGAAAAAACTTCCCCTGCGTCCAGACTCAAGCCGCGTTCTTTCGAAATTATTTCGAAAGAACGCGGCTTTTCTTTCGATGGCGGTAAACCTCGTTTCATGAGGAAGAACGCCTTCTTTCGAAAGTTCCTCTTTCGAAAGAAGGCGTTCTTCAATGTAAAGAGGCCGTCTTCGAAAGAGAGCATCCAGACTCACTGGGTGCTCTCTTTCGAAAAAGCGGATTTCTCTTTCGAAAGATCCGCCTGCAGTCTAGACGCGATCTTTTGAAAGAGGCTCTTTCGAAAGATGCTTTCAAAAGAGCCTCTTTCGAAAGAAGCCTGCAGTCTAGACATAGCCTCAGGCTCCAGTAGCTCCCATTGGCAGCAGCTGCCTGTTTACAGGAGAGGCAGCATGTGAAGTGTCCTTCCCCCCCATATCCTCCAGGCTCACAGTGTTCACAGCAGCAAACACAGCTCCTGTAGCTGCTATAAGCAATACAGAGGCATGGAAAGCAGGAATCCTGGTTAAGGAACCTGTGGGGTGCCACCCAGGAAAGGACTCCCAGCCAGAGCCTGCCTCTGGCACCCCAGGCCCTCCCTCAACCCTCTGCCCCCTTTCTATATCCCTCCCCCCATGTAACCCAAACCTTCTGCACTCCTTCTCCAGCTTCCATACATTTTCCCAGACACTGCATCCCCTCCTACACCGCTCCTCAGGTCACAACCCCCTCCCAGACCTTACACCCCAATGTGCTATCCCTGGTCACAGCCCAAATCCCCACACCTACACCCAGGTTACGACCCCTTCCCAGACCCTGCACTCCCTTCTCCTACAGCCCTACACCAGTCCAGAACCTTCTCCTGTACCCAAATCCCTCCCATACCCTGCACCTCAAGCCTCTGTCCCAATCCAAATCCCTGCACTCGTATCCCTGTACTCCCCTCCCAGACTCTGCACCCTCTCCTATACCCCAGTTAGCTACCCCAGGTCACAATCCCCTTCTTCACCCAAATTCCCTCCCAGATCTCACACCTCTATCCCTTATCCCAAGCTCCCTTCTACACACAACTTCCAACCCAGACCCCTGCACCTCCTTTGTTAATATAATGGAAGAATGTGGCCCTCAACCACTTATCAAATTTTTGGAGTGGCCCCTCATCGAAAATTATTGCCCATCCCTGATATACCCCCTAAAAATAGGTATTATAGATGGACAAATAAGGTAAAGATTAAATGACATTCACACAGTAACACAAGAAGTTGTAGCAGACTAGGAACAAAAACCAGATCAGATCACTCCGTTTTGATTAAAAATTGGTCTTGGTGGAAGCATCTTGTTCAGCCTTTTATGGAAAGCAAGCGCATGATGAAATATAGAAAGGAAGTAAGGAGGCAGAAGAGAAGCCAATTGTAATAAATAAGAAAATTAGAGAGATGACCACAAGAAAAGCTAATCATCATTCAGGATACTGCAATCTTTTGGACACTCTCTAAGCAAGGAATGCAGGATCAGATCTATTGCCCAAATAAGGCCAGTAGCCTTATGAGGTTCTAACTCATCCTGAAGACAAAAATGAAATAATAAAACACTGTCATATCCTTCAGCAAGAAAGGTATGATGTATATTAAATGACCTCCACAATATCGTGTATGATAATTAACACGATCATAATTTGATTAAACATAGAAATTACCATACTCATCAGACCAATGGTCTCTGTAACTCAATATCCTAAGAGTGGCCAACATTAACTACTTCAAAGAAAAAAAACCTGAAATAAGGAATTATGGAATAATCTGCTTTCAAGGAAACTTTTGTTTCTGGATCCCTAGTGGTCAGTTGGTCCCAAAGCTTGAGGGTTTATATCACTTTTTTGTTAACCAAGTTACAGATCTTTTGTTAATTTACCTGGTAACAGATCAATGTAGCCATCTGAAGCAGTCAACGTAACAGGCATCCAACGTTCACACCCTTCTAAAGCACGGTCAGAACCAAACCTATGCAGGTCACAAAGTGAAGAAAAGTTGCAGAGCCTACTTAATTCATAGAACTGAGGTGGAGCAAACCATATTTCTTGAGACTTAAAAAGTTCAATAGCTTCTGGAGGGGTTGACCACTGGAAAAGAAAGAAACATGAATAATATTTTCTTCTTGATCTCTTGTGGTGAAATTCTATCAATTGTTTAAACCTGAATGAAAATGTGACAAGGAAGGCCTTGTGTGAATCCGGAGATGGATAGTATCTTATTTGAAGAACTCATGCTATTAGTTTCCTGGATTTCACAAAGTGGTACAATTTTCAGTGTACTGCTCATAGATTTAGATGCACAAACACAACTAGAGCCATGCCACTCGCCATGCATGTCGAGCAGGAAGGAGAGTGCTGCTGCAGGCTCTGCGAAGGAGGTGGGTGGGCTTAGAATTTTTTGTGCGCGTTGGCGCAGGTGCGCGCCTTAGAGGTAACACTGGTCTCTGGTATTAAAAAGGTTGGGAACCACTGGTTTAAAGGATAGGTTACAAACCACAGTTAGTAGTTCTGCAACTTCACTCTGGAGTTTCTTCAGAACTCTTGAATGAATGCCATCAGGCCTAGGGATAACCAATTAAACAAGATTTTATAACTGGTTAAACAAACATTACATTTAATTGGTTAACTTATTAAATAGGGACAGGCAAGGGGCCACTACGGCCAGACTGGAGTGGCCCCCACACAGTTGGTAGGGACTGCTTTAGGCTTCCAGTCCTGCACTGGCCTGCCATCTCCTAGCTCGCATGGGCTAGGAGTCAGTTGCCTTGCTTGGGTCTGGAATTGGAAGTGGGATGGGGAATGTTACCTGTTCGTATCTCTAATAAGACCCTGATGACATATTAGTTTATCACTTTGTTCCAAAACCACCTCTAATTTACAAATACTGTTTATTATTTGACAGTGCTCTGTGTATCCTTAAAAGCCTCACAATACAGATAAAATAATGAATAATAGGCTTGATTCTATTGTGCCCTAGAATCATTTTGCACTTCAGTGCAAGGCAGTGATCTCACTTCCCTACTTGGGTCTTATCACCAATGTAGGTAGGGGACTCCGTATCTTGCTTAGAGCCAATGAAATGGCTCTGAGGTGTGCTCCTCCTCTGCAAAGGAGCATTCTGGATGAAAACTAGAACAGTGCTGCAGTGGGCTTATTCTTGGCCTCCTAGGACTTCTATGGAACTGTGGACTCAGAGGATTTAGAGCAGCGTTGAAGCTAATCTAACATACTGAAAACTTTGTAGTATTAATTTTCTTATTTGACTTCATATTAAATAAACATTTAAAGTAATGGACCTTGTTAATTATCCCTTGTTTTAGTATTTTTTTCCTTCTATAACATTTTAAAATACAAAAATCCTTGGTGTTCCTCAGTCTTAAAAAGTTTAAGAAACACTGCCTTAGAGCCACCACCACCAGACCTCCCCAGTGCCAGCCTCCTGTTTCTCAAGCTTCAATGAACCCAATCCCCCAGAACTTCCCCTCAGTGTCAGTCCCCAATATAGCTCCTGCCTCCCTAACCCCCATACTGACAGACCCACCCCTAGAGTCCCTTCCCTGCCAGCCCTACCCCCAGAGGCCTCCCCCCACTCCCATCCCCACCCCCCTCACCTAGCCCTGCACTGCCTCCAGCCACAAGCTGAGCGCTGCTGCCCAGGTTGCAGCTGCTCTAAGGCTGACATGCTGGGCTCCGCACGGCCCTCCCACCGCAGAGAAAAAGTACTCTTCCATGTCTGGGAAGTGACCTCGTCCCAACCTGCCAATGACAGCCCAGCCTGATGACAACCCAGCCCCCAACACGTGCACGGGATTGGCAATGTCTGCAGCACAAGTGATAGGGGCAGGAATACTAACCAAACCTATGCAGGTCACAAAGTGAAGAAAAGTTGCAGAGCCTACTTAATTCATAGAACTGAGGTGGAGCAAACCATATTTCTTGAGACTTAAAAAGTTCAATAGCTTCTGGAGGGGTTGACCACTGGAAAAGAAAGAAACATGAATAATATTTTCTTCTTGATCTCTTGTGGTGAAATTCTATCAATTGTTTAAACCTGAATGAAAATGTGACAAGGAAGGCCTTGTGTGAATCCGGAGATGGATAGTATCTTATTTGAAGAACTCATGCTATTAGTTTCCTGGATTTCACAAAGTGGTACAATTTTCAGTGTACTGCTCATAGATTTAGATGCACAAACACAACTAGAGCCATGCCACTCGCCATGCATGTCGAGCAGGAAGGAGAGTGCTGCTGCAGGCTCTGCGAAGGAGGTGGGTGGGCTTAGAATTTTTTGTGCGCGTTGGCGCAGGTGCGCGCCTTAGAGGTAACACTGGTCTCTGGTATTAAAAAGGTTGGGAACCACTGGTTTAAAGGATAGGTTACAAACCACAGTTAGTAGTTCTGCAACTTCACTCTGGAGTTTCTTCAGAACTCTTGAATGAATGCCATCAGGCCTAGGGATAACCAATTAAACAAGATTTTATAACTGGTTAAACAAACATTACATTTAATTGGTTAACTTATTAAATAGGGACAGGCAAGGGGCCACTACGGCCAGACTGGAGTGGCCCCCACACAGTTGGTAGGGACTGCTTTAGGCTTCCAGTCCTGCACTGGCCTGCCATCTCCTAGCTCGCATGGGCTAGGAGTCAGTTGCCTTGCTTGGGTCTGGAATTGGAAGTGGGATGGGGAATGTTACCTGTTCGTATCTCTAATAAGACCCTGATGACATATTAGTTTATCACTTTGTTCCAAAACCACCTCTAATTTACAAATACTGTTTATTATTTGACAGTGCTCTGTGTATCCTTAAAAGCCTCACAATACAGATAAAATAATGAATAATAGGCTTGATTCTATTGTGCCCTAGAATCATTTTGCACTTCAGTGCAAGGCAGTGATCTCACTTCCCTACTTGGGTCTTATCACCAATGTAGGTAGGGGACTCCGTATCTTGCTTAGAGCCAATGAAATGGCTCTGAGGTGTGCTCCTCCTCTGCAAAGGAGCATTCTGGATGAAAACTAGAACAGTGCTGCAGTGGGCTTATTCTTGGCCTCCTAGGACTTCTATGGAACTGTGGACTCAGAGGATTTAGAGCAGCGTTGAAGCTAATCTAACATACTGAAAACTTTGTAGTATTAATTTTCTTATTTGACTTCATATTAAATAAACATTTAAAGTAATGGACCTTGTTAATTATCCCTTGTTTTAGTATTTTTTTCCTTCTATAACATTTTAAAATACAAAAATCCTTGGTGTTCCTCAGTCTTAAAAAGTTTAAGAAACACTGCCTTAGAGCCACCACCACCAGACCTCCCCAGTGCCAGCCTCCTGTTTCTCAAGCTTCAATGAACCCAATCCCCCAGAACTTCCCCTCAGTGTCAGTCCCCAATATAGCTCCTGCCTCCCTAACCCCCATACTGACAGACCCACCCCTAGAGTCCCTTCCCTGCCAGCCCTACCCCCAGAGGCCTCCCCCCACTCCCATCCCCACCCCCCTCACCTAGCCCTGCACTGCCTCCAGCCACAAGCTGAGCGCTGCTGCCCAGGTTGCAGCTGCTCTAAGGCTGACATGCTGGGCTCCGCACGGCCCTCCCACCGCAGAGAAAAAGTACTCTTCCATGTCTGGGAAGTGACCTCGTCCCAACCTGCCAATGACAGCCCAGCCTGATGACAACCCAGCCCCCAACACGTGCACGGGATTGGCAATGTCTGCAGCACAAGTGATAGGGGCAGGAATACTTTTCTGGTGGCTCAAGAGTTCCTCCCCAAGCCATTAACAGTCAGGGCATATATGTGCAAGGGCACTCAGCCCACGCACATCTTGGGCTCGCACCCACCCAACAGCCAGGCAGTATTGGCCCCCTGATACCTTCTGGTTTGAGTCAGGGAGTCCAGCTCCTTTCGCACAACTCCGACCTGTGCTGCTGGCTGTAGCACCCTGGGACATTGGGAAGTGGCCAGAAACGTGGTGCAGGCTGGAGCGGACAGGGGAGACCATGTGGGGGAAGCAGGCCTTGACGGAGGAGAGGTGGAAATCGTAGACACCCAGCACAGCTCCCTGGGGCCTCTAACCTGATCCTCCTTGGTATCAATAAAGTGCAGGATGCTGTGAAGGCTCTGCTCCCTAGTCCCGCAAACACCACCCGCAATGGAAAGGACATGTGGCAACCACCCACCATGAAGTCCTGCCAGCTGGTTCACCTGGCTGCCACCAGAGTTGGAATCAAAGCTGTGGTAAGGCTGCCCCAGTAGAAACATCCTCACCATGGCCCAGCTCTAGCTGCAGCAAATGGGGTAGCCCACAGTGCCACTCACCGTGGGAGGACAGGAGGAGAATTTTTAGTACACGCACAGGTGCGTACCTTATAGCCAACTGAGCTCCCCAGAGGGCAGGGCTTATTAGTAGCTGGGGGCATGGTGCGGCAGAGTGCCACAGCCCAGCAGGCAGAGGTTCGCAGCCTGCCACAGGTTCGCAGAGCAGTGGTTGGGAACCGCTGCTTTAAATCATCTTTTGTACCAAATGACTAGATAGCTAATGCAATACCCATTTTTTAGAATGCCTGTAGAAGTAATCCTGGTAATTACAGTCTGGTAAATCTAATTTCAGAACAAAGCAAACTGGTTGAAACTATAGTAAAGAACAGAATTGTCAGACACATAGATGAACATAATTAGTTGAAGAAAAGTCAACATAGTTTCTGTAAAATGTACATGTTGGGATTTCGATGTCTCTCTCTGCCTCTTGCTCCACTCATCTGAAGAAGTGGGTTGTGCCTACCAAAGCTCACTATACAATATAAATTTTTTTGTTAGTCTCTAAAGCTCTGGTCTACACTAGGTACTTATTTCAAAACAAGTGGAGCATCCACACTACCAAACCATTATTTCAAAATAACAGCCTGGTTATTTTCAAATAACTCCTGCTTTCCACAGGGAATAACACTAATTTTGAAATAGTTATTTCAAAATAGCAGTAACGTGGATGTTCCACTGCTGCTACTTCAAAATAACTACTCCCCATAGTCATTCGAACTAATTACTCCCCAGTGCTTCCTGGGGCTCTAAGTCAAGCTAGAATGTCCACATTAAAGGGGTCTGTCACACACTAATTTCAAGGCTTCCCTATAGTATGGAAATGCTATTTCAAATATAGTTATTTCAAGAGTTATTATTTTGAAATAATTTCATAGTGTAGACATGCCCTAAGGTGCAACAGGACCAATCCCTGGTTGTTGTTTTTTAAAGTCTATAAGGAAGTATATTCACATGATCACCTATTTGGTGATGGACTAGGAAGGCACAGGGGGAGGGGGATGGCATAGGAATGGGCCCCTCTTTGCACCGCCTGTGGGCTTCCATGGGAGGCAAGCGAAGTACAGGGATTGATACAAGGTGTTTGTGGTGATGAAACCTCACCTGGAAGCCTGTCACCTCCTGCTCGTCCTGCGACGTGTGCAGAGGCCGCTCCTCAAGGCAGCACAGGTAGAAGGCGGTATCGTAGCGGCGGCCGCCCCGGCCAGCCCTGAGCACCGGAGTCAGCCAGTTGCCCCACTCGTGCAGCGCCCAAATGTTGGGGACGCAGCGGAGGTCGCGGCAGAGCTGCAGGAAACAGGCCGGGTCCCGCTGCA